TGTGTAGAGACAGATTAACCTGGTTTGAAACTATCTCAAATAAACAATAAAACTACACATGTTTTTTTGTTATTGGTGAGTTGTGTAGAGACAGATTAGCCTGGTCTGAAACTATCTTAAACAAACAACAACAAAACTACACACGTTTTTTTGTTATTGTTGTGTTGGCGTGTTGTGTAGAGACAGTTTAACCTGGTCTGAAACTATCTCAAACAAACAACAAAACTACACACCTTTTTTTGTTATTGGTGAGTTGTGTAGAAACAGATTAACCTGGTCTGAATTTATCTGAAACAAACAACAAAACTACACACCTTTTTTTGTTATTGGTGTGTTGTGTAGAGGCAGATTAACCTGGTCTGAACCTATCTCAAACAAACAACAAAACTACACATGTTTTTTGGTTATTTGCGTGTTGTTGTAGAGACAGATTAGCCTGGTCTGAAACTATCTCAGCATAAGGCATCATTCAATGTTAAAAAATGTTTCTATCTGCACTGTGAACTGAGCGGAGATTCGGACCTGCCCATTTCTGCTTTAAAAACATAAAAAACGAGATTTAAAAATGCAAAATGATAGTTTTTTTTTACAAATACTGCACGTTCCAGACGTTTGAAGGACTGATCTAAACAGCTTGTTTATTTTTGTGTCAGTGTGTGTGTGACATTACAGGTCTGTTGTCTCCTGGGTGGACCCTTTAACTGGAGTTGGCCCCCTTTCTGAAACAGAGCTGACCTAAAAATGAAGAGGAAACAAGTCCTTTAACCAACAAAACTCAGCACGAATGTGTGCGTTCAAACCAGGAAACCTACGATACAGTGGGAGAAATAAAAAAGAACCTTTAACCAATCAACAATGGCTTCACAGTGCTGGACATTTCTGGGTTTTGCTTGAGAAGCACGCCATTAAAATGTCATTATTCCAAAAAATGTCCAACCACATGACTCTAGTAAAAAGTAACATGTGGCTGTGCAGTACGTGCTGGAGGATATCAAACATGTATAAAGATAAAGTCAGGAGGAAGGGAATGGGAACGTCCTGTGAACCGATTCCAAACTCTCATCAAGTTAATTTTTGACATGACTATTTTAGATAAGGACCAGTTTCTGTGGTGAAATACAACCAACTATATAGTTGAATAAATAAAAGAGGGTGTAGTGAATGTAGGGAGAGTCTTCTATAAAATTCTCTGTAATTCTACTATTACAGAGGGAAATTTGTTTTTTATTCCAGGTTTGTTTTTCTTCAACCATCACTGAATGAATTCTGAATAAAAATGTTTTGTTATGAATAATGATGGTTTGTTGATTCACCAAACGGGAAGAAAAAGTGTTTTAGTTTTAATCTGCATTCATGAGAATTTCTGCTCTATTGATGATGTGAAAAAGGATCTTGAACAGCCTTTTATCGTTTTTAGGGCTTCGTCAAGCAAAACTCTCCAGCAAAGGGTTATATTTGTTGTGTTTTAGAGAATCTTTCTCAAGCTAAAACACTCAAATGAGATATGATATGAACACAAATAATGTGTTAAAAAAAATTTTTTTATGTCTTATCAGTTCATATTCGACATTCATTTGAGTAAAAATAATGGAATATATGCCCAGATACTCCCAATTTACACACCCTCCAAAATAAGCTATGAAAAAGCTGGTCTTTACCTAGAGTAAATTCAGTTTAAGCCATAGAAAAGCATCTAAAAATAACCTTTCTCCAAATAATGTGTTCAATGGTTTTTTAAAGGCCTTATCAGTTCATATTCCAAATTCATTTGAGTAAAAATAATGGAATATATGCCCAGATACTCACAATTCACACACCCTCCAAAATAACCTCATAAACTCTGAAAAAGCTGGTCAGTAAATTCAGTTTAAGCCATGGAAAAGCATCTAAAAATAACATTTCTCCAAATAATGTGTTAAATTGTTTTTTTAAGGCTTTATCAGTTCATATTCCAAATTAATTTGAGTAAAAATAATGGAATATATGCCCAGATACTCCCAATCCACACACCCTCCAAAATAAGCTCTGAAAAAGCTGGTCTTTACCTAGAGTAAAATTCAGTTTAAGCCATAGAAAAGCATCTAAAAATAACCTTTGTCCAAATAATGTGCTGAATTGT